TATAAATACTTATTTTTTTACTTATTTTGTGGTTTTGTAATTATAGGGAAAATATTACATCAGCAATTATTTTATTACCCTTTAAATTGATTTCTGGAGATTATCCAAGGTGCTTCATGACCCATAATTGGGTCCCAAGCCCAACTTTGGGAACCAAAGAGGACTGCACACTGTACACCGTCCATCACGACAGAGTTTTAAGTCAGTTAGCTGAACCATCTTGAATTGGATTAAACAGTTGTAGGTGTWCAGCTTTGTGAAAATTTCATTAGGACCTGCCCACTGGTGCGTAAGATATTTTGAAAACAGACAAAAACACACACACATCCATTATTTTTATCYCCTTCTTCCTTTCAGGGTCACTGGAGCCCATATCCAGCAGTCACTGTRTGAGGGGCGAGAGGACACCCTGGACAGGTCACAAGTCCATCACAGGGACACGTAGAGACAAACCATTCCCTCTCTCACTCGCACCTAGGGACAATTTAAAATGAACAAATAGCCTAACAGTCGTGCTTTTGGTTTGTGGAAGGAAACTGGACTTCCAAGAGAAAACCCACACATGCACAGAAACAACACGCAAACTCTACCCAGAAAGGTCCCCAGCGGGGTTTTGATCCGGCAACCTTCTTGCTGAGAGGCAACAGCTCTACAAAGCAATCACATCAGTACCTGCTTTTCAAGGAAGCAAACGATTATAGAATTTTTATGTTTYTATAACACCAGACTGTGAGCTTTTGTCCTGCACCGGTTTTTGTTTTACACAGAAAGTTGCAAGTTTCACACAAACCCAAGASCCGGCTCAAAATATACACATTTAATGTCCCTCATTTATTTTTAGTTAACTAGTATTAAATGACTAGCCACTGTGAATAAATTGAAAAAAAGAAACTCTTCTATAAATACAGATTTTATGGCTGATCTCTTTTGAAAGATAACAGAAACAATAGTCACTTTACTAGGAATGAGGTGTGAAAGACTGAACTCTGAATGTCCTGATGCATCTCAGTAATCCAGGTAAAAAATCAAAAAGAAAAAAAATTGTRTAGGTCTTCTGGACGGGTTCTTCTCTAATGAAACGTTTCGTCTCTCCTYCAAGAGACTTCTTCAGTCTGAGAGTTTCAGGCAAAATTCAGGCTTTTAAGCACTGCTTCCATGTGACTGATACTCACATCACATGGCTATCGTTGACACCTAATTAACACCTATTGTTAACAGGGGGTGGAGTGATACTGGCAATAGCAGCACTGTAGGAGGGGGACAACTGAAAATGGAGGCCTCCACCTCTGTTTAATGATGGACGGTCTTTCTTCACAAAAATGGCTTCTTACTCCTCTCTCAAACCAACGTTCCTCTCTATCAAGAATGAGAACATCCTCATCTCTGAAAGAGTGACCGCTGGCCTGTAAATGAGTGAACACTGCAGAGTTCTGGCCATTAGATGTAGCTCGTCTGTGTTGGGACATTCTTTTGAACAGTGGTTGCTTTGTTACCCCGATGTATAACTGGTCGCAGTCCTCCTGGCACTTAACAGCATATACAACATTGCTCTGTTTGTGCCGGGGCACCGGATCTTTGGGGTGAACCAGCCTTTGCCGTAATGTGTTTTGGGGTTTGAAAGCCACTGGGACATCATGTTTAGAAAATAAACGTCTCAGTTTCTCCGAAACACCCGCAACATACGGAATAACCACTGGTTTGGGTCTGGGTTTGGGGTCTTCATTTTCACCTGAAGGTTGCATGGAATCCTGTCTGTGTTTCCTGTCTGTCTGCCTCCATGTGAGTATCAGTCACATGGAGGCWGGGCTTAAAAGCCTGAATTTTGCCTGAAACTCTCAGACTGAAGAAGTCTCTTGGAGGAGAGACGAAACGTTTCATTAGAGAAGAACCCGTCCAGAAGACCTATACAATTTTTTTCTTACTGAACTCTGAAGTTAAAAAAAATCCACTTAGGTCTATCTGATGTTTTTTTTTTGTTAAGTGAAGCATTCTYTAGATCGCTGGGACTTTTACAGCAGGGGGAAAAATGTATCAGCTCTTAGTTTGGCATATTTTCTTAACAAGAGTACAAAAACTATATTTTACACAACATTATTTAAATTTATATCCAACAGTTCCCAAAAATGCCTTGTTGTTTAGTCTAACTGACCATGGACTGTTATGAGAGTTCCTGCAGGGCCAATAAAAAGCTGAAGATGCTGGTCTTTTTGTACACAAAAGATATACAATGTAAGGAACAATCATTGAAAACTCTTTGGGGAGATGAATGTTTTATTAAACCGAATCGTCAATATATGGATTGTGCATTTGAGATWATACGGATCAGAGGATTACCAGGAAATCTAAGGGTGGAGTCGTCACATCTTGTAAGGTTCATTTTGTTTGTCGTTGCAACATCACATATTTTCAAAATGAACTGCATCAATCAAATCACGACGTATTTCAACGGTACCATGTGGTGTGAAGTGAATTTCTGTAGAAAACAGCTAATAGCTCACTAAGGGATTATTGATCACAGAGCATCAGCCTAGAATCACAAACAAGGAAATAACCTCATTACTGCCGAGAAGAAACATCAATGTCTGCATTTGTGAACAGGAAATGTTTTAGAACAAATATGAAACAAACCAAGTTTTAAAATGTGAGCAAAAATCTGCYTTTGTAATATGTAGTCAGTCCTGTGAGGACTCCTTATAATTTTCTGATCATTTTGGAGCTGATGTTTGAGAACAAGACCTGATGGATTTACTAAAGAAATCTAAAGAGTGATCCTCGGAGGACCTTTATTTATTTATGCTTTATTAAAAAGGGAAGGCAACACTAAATGTAAAAAAAAAAWTTAAACATCTCAGATTATTATCACATTTATTTGGCTAGAGAGAAACTGATCAATAGTAAAAGAACTGCATTTATATGATGCCTTTAGTTGACCAATCAAAAAAACATCTGGTTTTGGCTTTTACTGTCCTATTTTCAACAACAGAGTGTATTTTCTCTGTTACACACACACACACACACACAGACACACAGACACACAGACACACACACACACACACACCAGAGGCTAAGTGGTTTTCAGTGCCTCACTGGACTGGGAAAGTTAAACCTTCAGCTCTTCCTCCCGAGCTGAGTGAGAATAAATGAGGCATTTTGACCTCTCAGCACACGTTCAGCACAGAAATTAAAGCAAAACTGAACTCAATGTGAGGTCAWACAATATCATAAATGGTGTCTTTACTGTTCAAAAAAAAAAAGTGATGTGATGCAAAACAAGAATCACTTGCTGCCATCTGCTGGTGGAAAAAGAGTGAGAAGGCACAAAGAGAAGTACGGTGAATTGTCCTTTCAGTGCAAAGATGTGGTTTTCTGTAACAATGCCAATTTGTACCGTTAAGCACCGTGTCTGAGATGAGGGTAACTCTGCACCGTRCGAGCGATCCCCTCCTTCAGACTGACCACCGGTTTGTAGCCCATGTCGTTTTTGGCTCGTTCGCAGCTGTAGTAGTGATGGGTTCCAGCCAAAGCCACCCTCATGGGCGTGAAGGTTGGTTTGAGCGACACCAGAGGGCTCAGGATCCAGGTGAGCAGCCAGAGGAGCAGGGCCAGGCTGTAGACGAGCCCGTACGGTACGTGGAAGCGTGGAGCAGCGTAACCCAGACCCACCAGCATCTCAGACATGAAGTCCCAGAAGCGGATCGGCTCGTCGTTGGTGATGTGATACGGCTGGGAGGGGAGGAGGAGGAACGTACAGGGTTAAAGAYCTCGCAAAACTGGAGAAACAACGTGGAAAATAAGCACTGATGCAAATGATTCTTCTGAACAGATGTGTCAAAAATGTCAAGGTCTTACTTTGCCACAGATGGGAGAGTCCGGTCTCAGGCACTCAGCAGCCAAGATGTGTCCATGAACAACATTTTCCACAAAGGTGAAATCTACTAAATTGGTCCCGTCTCTGGAGAAAACACACGAAACACTCAGAAAAAGAAAAGCACTTTTCATTACAGAGTTTTAAAACTATAACTTACACTGAGAAATGACCGAGTTGGAGCCGTTTTAGGTTAAATCTTGAAAATTAAGTTATGCACAATCCCATTAAACTGTTGGTGCTTGGAGWATGGGCTGGGGAGGACACTCAGCTACCAAACCACATTTTTCACTCAATATCTGCAAAACTGACTGATCAACCTTCAGTTGAGGAGACAGAACATGCGGATGGAGGTAAATAAGAAAAGCAGAGGGCTACTTTGATTGCCTTGTTTCCTTATGGGGTGGAAGAAAATATCAATACACTAAAATATTAGGATATTTCATTTCTTGACACTGTATTGATTTTCAAAAGCACCGTGTTGATTTTTAATTAAGGTTTAATGCAAGACGAAATGGGAAATGCAAATGCAGTTCTCACCGTTTCAGTGTTCTTCTGAACGAATAAAAATAAACTGAATTTAATCTGATTTTATGCAGCATGGTGTGTTCTATACACCGACTATATCATGTACCATAACAACAAATTCTTGCCAATATACAGCCCTATATCCTTATGGAGAATTGTTCTATACCCTTGATGCAATATTTTTATTATCTTTTATTCAACTTCCTTTAAAAGTAGACATATGCTTTTAGATCCTTCTTTTGTCACAATTAAATCATTCAGTTGGGGTCTACATAAAGTGGAACTACAATGCTTTGGTCTGAATTTCTTCTTATTTTAACTTTACCAGGCCCTCTTTTACGCCTTTGTTGAGGTTTCTTTCAAAGCAGCTCGTTTTGATGCTGTTCCTTTAAATCCAAACGAGGAGTTCCACCCCCCCCACTCCCCCCAGACTGGTTCATTCTAGTTTGATAGAGAGGGTTACAGTTATCTAGATGCATAAATTTAATTAATTAAAAAAGAAGACTTGTTCATCCAGCCTTACATGTTGGAGCMAGAGTCTGACTCAGAACCACAGGACACTGAAAAACGATTAAATTGTAGGTGGTGAGTCCAGACCATATTTGGAAGTTCCATCGCAAAGACTGATGTAATAATTCAGAAATGTCATAGAAAATCCTAAACAGAATATAAAGATATCTTTGCAGCACAGTGTGAGACAATGGGCCTCATTGCAAGAACCGTTCGTACGCATAGATTTGTTCTTAAGTTGTGCGWACGAGTGATTTAGGAGAATTTGTGGCATTCACCAATGTTTTCGTATTCTACGATTTTTTTC